AAAAGAAATGTAATGGTGTAATGGTTAGCAAGCTTGTCCTGATAGATCTATCATGACTGAGTGAGGAATTCGACTGGGTGCTCTACACATTTGGCCTTGTGCCATATCTAAACTACGTTTAGAAAATGAAAATGCACCTAGATATGGTGTAATGGTGAGCAATCTTGTTCTGCTAGATCAATTATGACTGAATAGTGAGTTTGATCCTCACTAAGTGCCCTATACTTTAAAAAACAAAATTTTTAATGTGCAAGAAAGGATTTAAAAATGGTAGGCAACCAGATGCATTGAGGGCAACTGTAATTAAAAACAAATGTGACTATTTTACAAACTTTTTTATGACTGGCTAATTACTATCAAATTTATGTACATAATATGCATAAGGGCTGGTTATGGAGTAAATAGTATACCCTGGTGACTATACAAACTAGTTCATTACTATAAAGAGCTACATGTCAGAGGTAAGAGTGGTAGCTGTTTGGAGTCAGTCTTAAGACTAATACAGGTAGCATGGTAAAGTAGCCAAAGCATTACATATAGAGAATCTTTATACAAAGTATATTATATAAGTAAAAGTGTGTTATAACAATAGTCATAGAATAGTGGCATTATAATAGAGTCAATATCTATGCTGCCAATTTGTTGGACAATTTTTCTCACCTGTGTATATCTTATAAATAAATCTATCATTCATCCATGCACTGACTGTTGCCACATCTGGTCTAGTGTGCCTGTTATATATCTAGAGATTCTTAATAAAATTCAAAGAATTTGAAATGTTATTGGTCCTGACATATCATCTTCAGTTACTTCCCCATTGCCATAATGTTACTTCCCTGTGCCTTTTCTATTAATACTTTCAGGGCAATTGTTTTGATGAACTTTGCTCAATGGTACCTCTACTTTATGAATTTAAATGCAGTACTAGATTGGCAGGTAGGTCTCATCATTTTGTAGTTGAAAGGGATAGATTTAATGGTGAGTTCTATGTTAACCGTTTCTTCTTTCATACTTCTGGCTTGTGGACTATTTTTTGGTTTCTTGCTTTCCATCTCAGTCAACTTTGATCTTGAAAAATTTAAATACAATGTCAATTGTTATCTTCTGCCTTCTTAATTCCTGTTCTTTTATTGTACTCTCCTTAATAGTGCTTTTTTTCTCAAATTCTCTAACACTCTAATCCTTTGAGTCTTAGTGACTTTATTACCTTGCTTGTGGTAAAATGATAAAAAAAATAAAAATTAGTTGCTTTTTACAACATATATTAGAATTAGCAATATTTATTAAATAACAACACAAAAGATGTTTAAAGTAATACTTTTTTGGTAATTATTCTGATGAACTTACCTCTATGGTACCTAGACATTAAGAATTTAAATGCTGTACTAGATAAATGGTAAGGTTTCATCATTCTACAGTTGAAATGGCTAGAAGTAACTGTAAGTTCTATGCTAATAGTTTCTTCTCTCACACTTCTTGCTTGTGGAACAATCTTCTGGTTTCTTGCTTTCTAGTCAAGTTTCGTCAAAAATCTAAAATGTAACGTCAATCATTATCTACTGTCTTCTTAATTCCTGTTCTTTTATTGTTCTCTCTCCTTAACAGTGATTTTTTTTCTCATGTTCTCTAAAAACCAGTAGCCCTTTGCATTTTAGTGGCTTTATTACCTTACTTGGGGTGAAATGATTAAAAAATTAATAGTAAATGGAATGTGGGGAAGTAAAAAAATATCTCCTATCCAGGCAATCAGTATAATTAAGTTATATAATGGCTTAACAAAAGAAAAAACAATATATCCTCCAAACTCTCGCTCACAGGTGGGATGTGGTGAGTCTCTCACTGCTCTATCGCTACTTCTATGGAAAGTGCTCAGATGAACTACCTTGATTTTGTCAGGTTTAACCTTCATGCCACTGACATTGTAACAAAGCACCTGCATCCCCTCCGTGAAAAATAAGTCCGACTCAAACAGCTTTTTCCCTTGCTCTGTGGAACAGACTCCCAAGAGAATGTTTTCCTGATCACTACAATCTTAACCTGTTCAAGTCTAGAGTTACCAGTTATCTTCCCCTTCTATCCTATAACCCTTAACATAATAAAGTGGCCCCCAGGTCTTGTACAGGGTGAACTTTACTGTAAAAAAAAAAAAAAACCCAAAAAACTATTGTATCCTTTGCTAAATGTACAGACTCTTTAGCTCACAAGGCCACAATGTTTATATTTGCTTTAGCCTGGCCACATGATTGAGCCAGGTAGCTGGCTGGCTAGCCATGATTAATCAACAAAGTTACCAAACTGACAGTGTCCAGTGAGTCAGCATTAACAGATTAACAGAGAAGATAAATAATTCCCTGAAATGGCCAGCATTCAATGGCACCAAATGTTTCAGACTGCCAATTCGTATTCAAAAGGTCATCACTCATGACCAATCAAAGCAACCATCTTGTAACAAGTGTAATACAAATTCTGTTCCAATTTGATCATGTATGGTACTGGTCTACCAACAGCAAATAAAAATGTATGCAAAACAATGAACTTTAGAAGTTGGATTATAAAATTTATTATTTCCTCTAAATTGAGTTCTGGAAATTAAATAAAATTACTCTGAGTAAAAAATTCTAGATATTAAAATTTAAATAAAAAAAAGATATTTCGGTATACATTTGCACCAACTTCAGCAGAAATCTATGCTGCTGTTAATGTACATATACACTGAAATATAAGGGCTTCACTTTTATAGTGAACATACAACAAAACAAAAATTAAGATAAAAAATACAAAAAGTACATATTCACAAGGTGGCTATACAAAAATACACTTTTTGTATTACTTTTTTTTGTCTCCCCAATTCACAAATTAAATAATTATTGTGATATAGCAAAGACAGTAACTAAGCCAAAACTGCCAAAGTCCACTACATGTACTTGAGCTTAAAGCACCTGATAAAACAAAGGAACCTAAAAAGTGGATGATGACAAAAGTTAACCAACCAAGAAATACCATAAGTTGTTACTACGTCCGTCTATATTTTTGAAATGTATTGTAATTATTTCCAAATAGTGTAAATAGTTACCGTGTATATTACCCACAAAAAAAGGAGGTCACAAAATTAGCAGGTTAGTTGGTCAGCAGACAGCACTAATTGTCCGAAAATGCAGATCAAAATTTTACAATAAAGAGATCATTATCTCTTTTGTGCTGGGTGGCATGAATGGACTTTTTTGTATTCACTCTTACCTCTTTAGTCTGTATACAGAGGCCTGAAATAAATATACCATCATTCCATTTCATATGTATTTGTTAATTATTGACACCCTCCTACTTCAGATACTAGCAGCAGACAACAACTACCACTGAACGAAACCAGTTGTTATACTATATTGTCTTTTTTTCAATCATTTCACACCAAGCAAGGTGATAAAGCCACAAAGACACAAGAAGTAACTAAGCATAAAAACAACAGAGTAAAAGAAACTTTAAAAATATTACCGAGGAGAAAATACAATAAAAAAAAAAAAAAACTGGATTCAAGAAGACAGAAGATGACAATTGACATTGCATTTAAACTTTTGTAGCTCTCTTGCCCACAGAGCATATTGAGGGCAAGAGAGATAGGGGAAAGCAGTGAGCCACCTGTCTGTCGAACTTATACAAATGGATGGTGGCAGAGGGGGAGTAGCGGTAACCTTAGCAAAAGGAGAAAAAAATCTTTTAAGGACCACAAGGGAGAAGAAATTGAGCACTTTGATGTGTTATAATGGTTAATAAGCTTGTTCCACTAGATCTATTATGACCGAGTGAGGAATTTGACTGAGTGCTCTACACATTCAGCCTTGTGCCATATCTAAGCTAGAAAATGAAAAGGCACCTTGACATGGTGTAATGGTTAGCAAGCTTGTTCTGCTAGATCTATTATGACTGAATAGTGAGTTCGATCCTCACTGAGTACCCCATACTTAAAAAAAAATAAAATTTTTAACCAAAATTTTCAATGTGCTAGAAAGGATTTAAAAATTTAATAAAATAATCTAAAAATACTTTGGTCTTTCCTCTTAATATATATTTTGATGATAAAACTGTTTTTATCAAGTGTGGGCCTTTTTTCATCATATACTTTTTTTTCTTTTTTTTAAGAAAATTTTTGGAGGTACATACTGTTGAGGATTTAGAACTAATTTTGAACTGAAAAGTTGCTATGATCAAGACAGCCAAGCCTGGGAAACAGAGATGATGACAGTAGCCATATCTGGAAAGATGACCATGGAGGGGATTGTAGAAGGGACCTCGTGATAGCAGAGATAACAGCTGAAGATAAGGAAAGACAAACTGGTCACTCACGCATTTACTCCAGCCATCTTGTGTTTTAAATTCAAGGGGTCTTCTTTCAGTTGATCCAAAATAAAAATTGAGACATCTTAGTTATTATGCTTTTTTTCTAGGTTGCAGTCACCATTTCCGTAACAGGCGTTGTTTTTACTAGTGTTGACTGCTTGATATGCATTTATTTTCATTACATAGGTGTTCTCTTCTTGCACAAGCACCTTCAGGAACAACAGTTATGTTGAATATGCTGCTGTCGCATTTGATGCAATGCAACAATGTGAGGCTTGAAACAAGAAGTGAAATATCGTATGAGAGATATCATGAAGTGAAATATCGCGTGAGAGATACCATGAAGTGAAATATCTCGTGTTAGAAATATCAAAAAGTGAAATATCGTATGAGAGATATCATGAAGTGAAATATCGCGTGAGAGATACCATGAAGTGAAATATCTCGTGTTAGAAATATCAAAAAGTGAAATATCGTATGAGAGATATCATGAAGTGAAATATCGCATGTAAGAAATATCAAGAAGTGAAATATCGCATGAGAAATATCAAGTGTGAAATATTGAAGTCATTTTCTGTTCATTTTTACACCAAGCCAAGGAATTTTCTCTTTTAAATGGAAGCCAGTCCTTGTTTTAGCTTTTTAATAAATTAGCAAAACTCACTTACCCTTTAGTTCTGCGGACGGTAAATCAGATACACAGCTCCTGAAAATTTAAAATGAGATAAGTAATATATATATATATTACATATTTTTTTTTTTCAAAATTTTAATCAAAATACTAGATTAAAGAAAGATAACATTGAAAACTGCTTTTAATTAATATAACTTTGATTAAAATTAAATAGTTTATTGAATTATCACTGACCCCCACCCCCAAAAAGACAAAACAAAAAACAAAAGCAACAAGGTGTCATAATGACTTCATTTTGTTTTCTATAGCTGCATTCATATTACTGCCAACATTGCAACAGTTGAATCTTTGAACAGGAATAGGAACTATGAAAACACTAATTAAAATGTGATAAAAGCAACAAAAAATAAATAAATTAAAATAAAACAGAATATGAGTAATGGAAAAATGTTATTTTTCAAAATAACCAACCATGAGGATTTACTACCACACTTCCAAAGGGGTTTAAAAAAAAAAAAGAAAAAGAAAAAGGGTACCATATTTTCCGGCTTACAAGATGCATTTTTTTGCCTAAAAAATATGTGTGCATGTTCCAAGATGAATATAAGGCAATGCCCAGGCTCAAGTAAGCTTGGATGGTCACCCAATTGTCTTGACTGATAGGGATGTGGATTTGTATGTTGAGTCATTACACTATAATGTTAGCTATCTATCTAGTTCAGCCTTTTATATGATATAACCTCAGTACTTACCTGTTACAAGTATTTCCAAGACTATAAACCTTCCTGGAGCTGAGCCACAAGCTTAAACATGCTCTGTTTACTAGCAGTGACAGGAACCTTTCTGCTCTTGACTAGTATGTCATTGCCATACAAACAAAATCAGATGAGTGATTAATGTAAACAACATGTGGACCCAGTATGTGAGGGATGCATGGTGAATGTGTTGTATGAGAAGGACTTTTTTTTTTCTTAGAAATTTCTTTCCAATATTAGGGTGTGCCTTCTAAGCTGCAGTGTCTTGTAAGCCGGAAAATATGGTGTATTCAGAAGATAAGGTTATAACTTTCAAATACCTTCTCCTTAGTAAAGAATTTGCAAATGACCTGTTATAGTATATAAAGTATTCAGGACTGTTTATTTTCTCTCTCTCATATATATATAATTAATTACAACATATCACACATATAGTGCTGCTGTTAATAAAAGTGCTCAATGTAATATAACAGAGCTATTAAGTATATACATATAATAAATGTACATATTATCCCTCACCTCTAGCACAACTGACTTTCATGCACAATGCAATCTTCAGGCGCTGAGTATGGACTGACTGTTATGAAATTTGAATTTTAATATATCTGGTTATCACAATGTTGACATAATTATATATTCTGCTGGGATTACAGTTTTTTTTAATTTTAAAATTATATTTGGCAATTAAAATAAGTGAGAATTTTTTATAAGAAAAAGCAAAGAAAATTAAAAAATTATTCATTTGTTAAAAAATTTTTAATTACAGGGAGATTATTTGTTCTTACTTAAAAACAAAAAATATAAATTTTTATATTTCTATTCAAAATAAATGGTAATTTACATTAAAAATAAACTGGAATTTACATTAAAAATTAAAAAAAATAAAAGGTTAGATCAATGTATTTAAGCAGATATCTATTTTTATGCCTACATGTAAGCATTAATTCATTTTTCTTGTTTAATAAGTTAGGGTTATTTAAGTGGTTTAAAATAACCAATTTTTCAACAAGACATAAGTTACATTTATTTCCTTTACTGTTATAAGCTTTAGCCCTAAATATAATTTCCCAATTGATTGATAGTGAGATGACATCATTCTTTAATTAACAGAAATATCTGGAGAGAGAGCAATGCTGTTTTTGTATTTTAAATTACTTAAGGTCATTTGATGATGGTAAAAACAACATTTCCAAGGATTTTCCGTGGAACCAAAATAAAATTTAACATAATTACCAGAATTTATGCTTGCTTGGAATACAATATTATCGGTCTTACTGTTTAAGGGACAAATCATATTTTTTTTGGAAGTTGCATTTATTTTTAAAACTATTTATGTTGTCTTTGTTTGAAATATGTTTGCTTATGTTGTTGCAATGGGAGATGGATGTGTCTATGTTATTAATGCAGCTATAGCTGATATTAACATTATTTTTGTTAAAAATCTTTTTTACTGTTGGTGAATAGTTAAAGTGTTTATGAATTAAATTTAGAAATATATATATACACACACACGTACACTATTTCCTTGTAATAAAACTATATATGGAGAAAGAATATATGTATACACATACTAGCAAAAACACACACACAATTCATACGAATGGAAGAAGATCTGAAGAGATAAACTAGAACAGGGGTCACCAAACTATGACCCACAGGCCTGATGTGGGTCCTTGATGTCAGTTCATCTGGCCTGTTGTTTCACTGTGCCACAAATTAGCTAAAATATAATTACTTATATGGAATTATCACTAGATTATAGATAATTTACATAAATCAGTCCAAGTTAGATTATCCACCAACTCCAGCAATAAGGAAATATTTGATAAGTCTAAAATTAAATATATAAAGGCTTTAGAACTAAGCAATCACAAAGTAAATTTAGAGTATTTAGAAAAAAAAACAAAGGTAAAAAATAAGCAGAAATACTGTAAACGCAATATTATATGGTTTAATACATCTTTTAACTGTAATGTCCAAACTAATATCGGAAGAATTATAATTTTGTGGTTGGGGTTTGATCCTTTACTAACTTATCTATGATTACATAGATCCTTTGTGTATGGTTTATAATAACTGTTATTCAAGTCTAAGGTTACATTGAGAAATTTGATCACTTTACCACCACCAATGTGAAAGTGATCAACTTTCTTGTATTAACCTTAGACCTGAATAATGTTTATTATAAACCACATACAAAGAATCTATATAACCATAGATATGTGGCTTACAGACCAAATCATATTGAAACATTGGTCCTCATATGATCACCAAAGTTTAACGTCCGGCCTGGTCAGTACTTAACTGGTTGACTGCTCAAGAATATCAGGTGCTGTAAGCCTGGATGTGTGGGTGGTGTAATGGATAATGATTTGGAATTGTTAATTGGAGAGCCAAGTTCCAATTCCACTTGGGTTCATTAAATTCATTTATGCACAAATACCCTTGATGAAGGGTATGATCCATTTATTCTCCCCTAGATATGGGTTAATTAGTAAACCATTATTATCTCAAGAAAAAAAATCAACCAACATAAAATACAATACTTTTGATCAAAGAGATAGAAAAAAATATAGGATTTTTTAAAGAAAAAAAGTGAGACAAATATGTCACAATATCCAAAAAAAATTCTTGTAGAAGCCAAATATTATTATGTGAAGATGTGCTCTCTTGTGTGTGTGTGTGTGTGTGTATAAATTTTGTACCATGGAATTTAAATATGGCTTTGAAAATGATGGAACATATTCTTTTAAAAGGGACCTTTTTTGTCTAACACTTTTTCAGAAAGATACGTTGGAACAATAATAATGAAGACGGCAAAATTTTAAAAGAATATTCCATCATTTTCAAAGCCATATATATTTTAGAATGAATTTTTATTAATCAGGCTCATAGATGAAAATAAATAAATGCATTGTTTAATAAATAAATGGAGTGCCTACCCAAATATGAGTATCCAGAAAAAATAATGTCTAAAGTGATACAAATATATATATATATATATATATATATATATATATATATACATACTAAAGAGGAAGCCACAAATGTTGTTGGTTATAATGTAGATTTTTTATATATATATATATATATATATATATATATATATATATATATATATATATACTAAAGAGGGAAGCCACAAATGTTGGTTATAATGTAGATTTTTTATATATATATATACTTTATTTTTCTATATTCTTTGCTACACATTTTTTGGGTCTCGTTGTGGCATGGCCGGGGCAGCGGCCTGCTGTTTTTGGTCAGAATCGATCCTGGTATCGGAGAACAAGCCATCAGCCCAGACTTGTCGGTCATTGGTGGCATTTGACACAGCTGCTGGTCTTTAAGTTGACCTCTTTAACTATGACCTCTCTTACCCACATAGTAATTTTTGATCATAAGAGGGTCAAGTTGAATTATCACTGGGATATCTCAACGAAGCTAAACCAAGGAGTTGAATACGCACGCAAAATTGAAAATAAAATAAACAACGCTTGAATAAGTCATTAGATGATATTTATATCAAAATAAAAAAATAATTACAGATTTTTTTTTTCTTTTTCCAACCCATTTCTAATATTTGGTGACGGAATGAAAATTTCAGCTAATTCCTCTAAGGATGGCCAGGCTTGACAAATGGATTTCTTCAAGTACTGTTGATTGTACTTTCAAGGACGGTACAAGGATATCGTCAGAGTCTTTCATCAGCAGATAATTATTATTATTATTATCATCATCATCATTAGGTTGGCAAAACAGCATAATGGCAAAAAATCTCCTAACTCCCCGCCCACGACTACTGTAACTCGCTGCAACTCCGGACCGCAACTCTCTGAGTCCCCGTTAGTGCTTGTATTTATGGGTGTCCATTCTGAACTGGTATGGGGAAATGCGCATAAGGGGATTTTAGGCAACTATCTTAAAATTCAACCAGTATCCTTTCTTTGTTCTCTGTTTCACACTTCCAATTTTGGACCCCCCCCCCTCCTTCGGGAGGAGCCATTATATGACGTCAGTCTTCCTGACGTCTCCCCTTGCCTTCACAATTTCTCATTCTGTCTTCACAATTATAATTTTTTTTCTCAGGGAAATTTTGGTTGATAATTTTCTCAGCACATAGACATTGACACCTTTCAACAGTCGACTTTAGCCCCTGAACCTGCCAGCTGTGTCTCGCCAAACTGTAACAATTGTACTTTGTATTTTTTTCAACAGAATTTGTACATCTGTTCTCAATGCCCTGGGAAAATGAGTCTCTGATAAAAAAAAAATAAAATTGTTTTTTTTTTAACCCTTTTTGTCTGTACGCCATGT